CCCCCGCCCAGCCCATTTTCTTTTTTAATCGCAAAATCAAAGAGTTTTAACACGGATAAACACTGAGGATGCTTATCGTCATAAAGATGAAGAAGCGGAAGAAGCCAGACGCAGGAGGAACAAATATTGTGTGATTCCACTTACACGAGGTACCCAGAGTAGTCAAACTGATGGAGCTAGAAAGGAGAACTGTGATTTCCAGGAGCTGCGGGGAAGGGGGAAATGAGTGTGCAATGGGTAGACTTTTGGGTTGGAATGATGACAAAGTTCTGTGGGTGGATGGTGCTGATGGTTGCACACGATGTGAATGTACTTAAGGTCACTGAGCGGTACACTTAACAATGGTTAAAATGGTACCTTCTGTTGTGTCTGTTTTGCCTCCTCCCCAAGAAAAAAAGTAAAAAACAAAACAAAAACAAAAGCCAGATTCCGCACGCCATCCTGCAGTGTTCTCTAACTGCTTTGTGTCATATTGTTGACACCTCCGTATCCACCAGTAACTGGACCCCCATCTGACCCGAGTACTGTTACCTATACCGAGGACGCAAGAACCCGCCAGGAATTTTATATCCTATCCGTTACTGACAAACAGTGCTAGCACGTGGGAAAGGTCCTAACAAACTGCAGGAGTTCAGAGGTGGCGAGACGCCCTCGCTGTACCACAAGGGAATCACAGAAGGCTTCGTGGAGCCAGCCTCCAAGGTGAGGCAGGTTTGGACGGACGAATGGCTGCAGGTTTGGACGGACGAATGGCTGCAGCATGGGGGCAAGAGCGGGGCAGATGGAAATGCTGGAGCAAAGGCACCCTGGGCCCCAAGAGGCAGACAGCAAATGAGTCTGTGACCCGACCCTCTGTGAGTGCAGGTGGACCTCGTGGGCACACAAGTGGGGGCACTTGTGGGGATCAGCCAGCGTCTTGGGAGCCCCATGGCCAGGCCGGTTGGCTCTCTGACGGTGGGGGCTGAGGTCCCTGTTTTGTTCTGGTCCCTGCGCATCTGAGGAGCCTCTGAGAACAGGATGCGGGTCCCAAGGGCTCCAGCTGGCAGGCCACAGCTCTGCCTCTGCCTTTGCCAGGAGAGACCCTGGCAAGCGGGCCAAGAGAGCTGTGTTGGCCCCAAGGGGCTGGAGGCCCGCCAGCGCTGGCAGCTACCTTCATTTCTTCCGCTTTGCCCAGAGGGGTGACCCTGGTGTCCAGGCTTCCTGCAGGCCCCAGACCAAGTCCCTCCCTAAACGCCTCCGCTCTCCTCCGCCAGGCGAGGCAAGCACTCGGTAGCTGCAGCAGGACTGGCCCCACGGATGGGAAGGGCTGGGTCACAGTCAACCGGACCTTGAAGTAATGGTTAACATACTCACATCCAAGACCTGTCCTTCCTTGTACCTAAATCAGAGGCCAGCTGTCAGCCACCCAAGAACAGCCATGAAATCGCCCCACTTCAGGCCAGAACATGGTATAGATGCTCTCAAAGGTCATTTTACTTCTAACACCCCTGGGTTTTCTACTTCCTGATTCTAGAATGTACCCCTTATGGGGGGGGGGGCGCCTTGGTCTTTCAGTTAGTTAAGCTCTTGGTTTCAGCTCAGGTCATGATCCCACAGTTTGTGGGTTCAAGCCCAGGACTGAGATCCCTGCTCGGGATTCTCTCTCTCTCTCTCTCCTTCTCGCTCTCTGCCCCTCCCCACTCACTCCCTCTCTCAAAAAATAGATAAACTTGGGGCGCCTGGGTGGCTCAGTTGGTTAAGCATCCGACTTCGGCTCAGGTCATGATCTCGCGGTCCGTGGGTTCGAGCCCCACGTCGGGCTCTGTGCTGACAGCTCAGAGCCTGGAGCCTGTTTCAGATTCTGTGTCTCCCTCTTTCTCTGACCCTCCCCTGTTCATGCTCTCTCTCTGTCTCAAAAATAAATAAATGTTAAAAAAAATTAAAAAAAATAGATAAAATAAAAATAGAATGTGCCCCTTATGAGCACTTCCAATAAACCAAGTCTGTGATAGGTGCTCATTTAATCCTTGCAACAACCAGGTGGGGTGGGGGTGGTTATTATCTCCAATTCCAGATGAGGAAACGAAGGCCCTGAGACATCTGCCCAGCGTGACTCAGCTGGTAAACAGCGAATCATGGAAAGGTTAAGTTTTAAGGTGGGTCTCTGATTCCCAAGTCAAAGCCTGGCTTTGGGTGAATCCTATGAAGAGGCATTTCAGGGCCAAAATGAAGTAAGTCTCCCATTCGTGCCTCATACTGCCAGAGTGATGAAAAGAACTTTAAACAGACCATCAAGTAGCATTTATGTGGTCCATTGCAAAATACTTTGTACACGTGTTCCTCATTTTACCTTTAAGAAACTTCTAGTAGGGAGCTATTACTGTGTTTGGGGTTCTCACCATCTCTGTTTCACGAATTGGAAAGCTTAGTTGGAGGAGGGCAGGATCACCCAAAAGATGGCCAGAGAGCTGAAGCTCAGACTCCAGTTCCCACTGCTGGCTCCCAGGAGGGAAGGGGGTGAGCTGTAACTGGGAACCGCCTTTTTTTCCGTAAGAAGACAAGGCTGTCTCCAAGATCCCGAGACCCACGAAGGTCCAGATTCACCCCTTTCTTTTAAGTACAAGGTGTTCTCTTTCACATTATCTGTCTGCCTGGGCCACAAACACAATTTATAAACAAGGCAAAAATGGCAGAGGAAAAATGAAGTCAGAATGTGCCATTGAAGCAAGTCAAACAATACTAAATTAGTATTTGGCTAAGCGGCTATCTCATTGTTAAGATATTTCCTCCAATGTGTTTTCAGAAGCAACGGCCATTAAACTACTGGGAATGATCGCCAGGTTTGATTTCAGGAAGGAAATCCCCTCCCATTTCCCTGCTGGGCAATTCGATTAATTTTCTCCTGACCCTCACCAGCTGATTATTAGGAAAACTATACCTCCTTCTTTTCTAAACAAATTGTATTCGCTTAAAGCGTCAAAATCTCTCTCCCAACGGCTGGGGAGCCCTGAGCTCCCGCCAAAAGTCTTTATTATTTGGGAGGGCAGGACCAGCTGGTGGGGGAGCTCTCAGGAGCATCCTGGGAGCAGACTTCTGGATCCACGGGTCAGCTCCTGGGGGAAAAGGAAAGTTCTATCTGTCCTGGAGCTCAGAGCCTTTGTCCAGAGAGACCGTTTGGATTGCAGACAAAGTAAATAAGTCAGTCCTGCAGGTCCAACAGACTTGCCTGGGGAGGACACAGCTATGTTTATTGTAGCGGGAGAGCATCTCTTTTTCTGGGTCCCATGTTGCCTATGGAGCAAAGATCTCACTTTCCACTCCCTCAAGGCCATGATAGCTGGAACAATGATGTCACTTCTTGGAGGGAGTCTTGTGTTGTGGACTAGCCAAGGAATCTGGGGACCCAGGTTCTAGTCCTGGCTCTGCTAAGGCAAGTCACTGGTTTCGGGAGTCGGGGTGGGTTTAGGCTAGAAAAAGACCTTCGTTTTATCCCTCTTTTCCTTAAATTGATAGCTTTCCTCCATAAGAAGAATGTCAGTGGTTTCCTGCCGTCAAAGGCATAATGAGTTCTCTGTTTTATAAGAATTCAGACTCCAGCAAAACAAAGGAAGCCAGGGGGCCCATTGGAAAGGCTACCCGCAATCTTGCGGAAGGTTCTTTCTTCCCAGACCTTAAAGCAGCGGCTCCTCACTTCTCAAGATACCAGCTGCCCAGTTAGTTAACCCCTGAACTACTGGGTAGTTCTTCAAAAGGTTGGGAGTGGGAAGATAGGAGGAGACAGGTCTTAGCATAATTTGAACTTGGACCTCCACATTAAAAAAGTATATATTTCCATCTGCCAACTAGCAGCATCCTAAATCCTCAATTTCCTACAGAGTGAAAACCTCAGGGGCGCCTGGGTGGCTCTGTCGGTTAAGCGACCGACCTTGGCTGAGATCATGATCTCACGGTTCGTGGCTTTGAGCCCCGCATCACGCTCTGTGCTGACAGCTCAGAGCCTGGCGCCTGCTTCCGAGATTCTGTGTCTCCTTCTCCCTGCACCTCCCCTGCTCGTGCTCTCTCTGACTCTCAAAAAATAAATAAATGTTAATTAAAAAAAAAAAAAAAAAAAGGAAAACCTCATAATGAGGTGTTTGAGTCCTTTGCATGTAAGCCCTAACTGACCTCTTCCTAGTGCTTCTCCTGGATGTCCTTTCTCCTATCACCCTGAGCTGCTTGGACTGTTCCTTCCCTCGTGGCTCTACTCCTGTTGATCTTTCTACCTGGGCCTGCTGCTGTGGTTGGACCCCTTCCTCACGGCTGATCCCAGTGACCCCTTCCGTGGGGAGGAGACCCTAACCAGAACCGTCTTTCTTCTGCGTTTCCATAGCTTCTGGTGAGCTATCATCACCTTGCTTTCTCATCCGTGTTAACTCATCTGATTCCCTCTGTGGGTCAAGGACCTTGAGTGGCCTCTGCAGCAGAGGACCTGGTGTGTCAGGGTGACTGGCATAGGCTCTCAGAGTTCAAAGTTCAAATGCACTGTTGGATCCTCCCTTCCTCCAAGCATTCCCCCCACCCCACAACAATGTCTGCCTCACTTCCAAAGCCTGAACCTGAACTAGGAGGAAACGTGCACTTCGCTCAAGGGGGGCTATATGTTCTAGATTCCTGACCCTTTGAGGGGGTCTCTCTTCGTATGAGGGCTGAGATGCAAGGATGGAAACAGTGGGAGAGAATATTTGAAATCGCCAGGCCCAGAAAACCTGGCCAGCCCGATGACCAAACACCCTCCATACAACATCTAGGCTATTGTTGCCCGGGGCTCCTGGTCTAAAACAGACCAGGCCGCTGTAGGAGTGTGATTCGTGGGAATGCAGAACCTGGCTGAGTTTGGAAATAGTTCACTGTTCAATGGACCATTTTTAAAAATTGTTTGTGAAATGTGTACTTACAGAATATCTGTTTTCCACGAAATCTGCAAAACAAAGCATAACATGGAGGGTGAGCGATTCAGAGAGTACATTAGGCTCCCCCCGCCCCTCAACCATCTCAGGAACCCCATGGGTAAAGGCAGGGGGTGGGGCGGTGCAGAAGGAGACACCAGAGCTTTACTGGGTGCTCAGCTGTATGGCTCCTTTGCCCACAGACAGCTTCCTCTGGGCTCTATACTCCATGTGACAAGCATATTAAAATCCCTGGAAGCTCACTGGACATTTTAAACAGTTTTTTTTTTAAGATTTTATTTTATTTTTTAATTTTTTTTTAATGTTTGTTTATTTTTGCGAGAAGAGACAGAGCGTGAGCTGGTGGGGTGGGGGGGGGCAGGGGTGGGGAGCAGAGAGAGAGACCCAGAATCTGAAGCAGGCTCCAGGCTCTGAGCTGTCAGCACAGAGCCTGACGCGAGGCTCGAACCCATGAGCAGTGAAATCATGACCTGAGCTGAAATAGGACGCTTAACCGACTGAGCCACCCGGGCGCCCAAAGATTTTATTTTATTTTTTAAGTAATCTCTACATCCAATGTGGGGCTGGAACTCATGACTGCAAAAACCCGAGTCGCATGCTCCATGGACTGAGCCACCCAGGCGTCCCGGCAAGTTTTTTTTGTTGTTTCTTTTTTTAATTAGTACTTCAGGTTATTTCAAGAAAAAAACTGAAAACTATAGAGGAGTAGAAAGTAGCCGATAAGCATGATCTCTTGTTCCATTCTTTAAACCCTGTTGACACTTTTGTCCCCCAGTCTTTTTCTGCTCTCCCGTAGGCTCTTGGTTCTGAGTCATAACATACAACATATGCCATTTTCTAGCCTATCCTTTTTACATAACGTGATCTTATAAACATTTCCTGGTACCTTCTTAAACATACTTGGGAGTGGCCTGTGTAATAATCATTCAATGGGTGTACAATTGTTTACTTATCCAGCTCCTTACTTTAGAAATTTAGGTTCTTTCCAAGTTTTTGCTGTTTTAAATAGTGCTGCCAGGGGAGCCTGGGTGGCTCGGTCAGTTAAGTGTCCGACTCTCGGTTTCGGCTGAAGTCATGCTCTCACGGTTTCTTGAGTTCGAGCCCCACGTCAGGCTCTGCGCTGACAGCGTGGAGCCTGCTTAGGATTCTCTCTCTCTCTCTCTCTCTCTCTCTCTCTCTCTCTGTCCCTCCCCGGCTCCTGTTTTCCCTCTCCCAAAATAAATAAAGAAACTTAATAAAAAAAAAGATGTAGGGGCGCCTGGGTGGCGCAGTCGGTTAAGCGTCCGACTTCAGCCAGGTCACGATCTCGCGGTCCGTGAGTTCGAGCCCCGCATCAGGCTCTGGGCTGATGGCTCGGAGCCTGGAGCCTGTTTCCGATTCTGTGTCTCCCTCTCTCTCTGCCCCTCCCCTGTTCATGCTCTGTTTCTCTCTGTCCCAAAAATAAATAAACGTTGGGAAAAAAAAATTAAAAAAAAAAAAGATGTAAATAGTGCTGCCACATCCTCTTTGGGAATAAGGCTATTTCCTTATTTCGTAGTAGCTTCTCCATCCCCACAAGTGGGAGCAGGGGAGGAGAAGGTACAAACACTGCCACCACTCTCGGGATAGACAGCCCAAGCGCTGCCTGCAATGACAGGGCCACCTCTTCCCCCTTCCCCCACAGGCCACCCTGTCTTCTTGCTAGGGTGCACGCCAGGACCTGCTGGCCCAGCCAGGCTGCAAGGATCAACATGGGCCTGTCAGGTCCTTCCAAATGTCCGGAAGATCGGAGCGAGGTGAAGAAAGGCCAAGGAGAACAGGAGGTGTCGTGTGGGGGGCGAGCCGTCCCGCCAGTGTTAGTCAAGAGCCGGTTTTCACTACAACAGGCGAGAGAGGGCTGTGGTTTGCCCTTGGAAAGGAGCAGGCCCCCACCCATTGCAGTTTCTAATCGGGCAGTGGCCCACACGGCTGGGGCTGATTCCCCAAACAGTCCATGCAGGACACAGGCCTGAAGACAAAGAAACCATGGGGACCTCCTGCTGTCTGGGAAAGGCGCCCAGAGCGTATGTGGGTGTTGGGGGTGGCAGCCAGTCTTGAAGGTGGAAGAGGCAATGGCAGGAGGGCCATAACCTACCGGACCCGAGTCCTCAGGGCTACTAGGTGGATGCACTCCAAGGGGCCTCGGGCTCTGCGAGGCCGCCCAACCTCAAACCCAGTCCCTTTTCTGAGTCTTGGGCGGTCTTGGGGCCCACCTGTCACAACGGGAGTCACAACCGTTCTGTTTCTCTCTCTAATTTAAAAATATCCTGTTTCCAAAAGTCCACTTCCCCCTCAAACCCTGTCTTATCACAGCCCTATTGTGCGTCCCCTGGAGAGGGAACGGGGCCAGAAGTTCCTAAGGGGCCCCCTTCTGTCCTGGCTGGGCCAGAGGCAGACGTCAAACAGCCAAATGGATGAATCAGCCGGACCACACGAAGTCGAGCCATTGTGTAAACTTCCACGCATTGAGTGAGGCTCGGGCAAGGCTCCCACCTGCAGCCCAAATCCGACCCGGGAGGACCTGAAGGACCCCGTGCTGCCCACTCCCCCAAAACCCCCGAGGGCTCTGGAATCAGACTAAAGAGGGAAAGAGCCTTAGTCTGTATGTCTGTAATAGTCTTAGACTATTACTTAGTCTTAGTAATATGAATACAAAAGACGGAAAATTTCGAATATGCTGGTAACACTCAAGGAAAACCTAGGTTTATGCCCACTTGTAGCATATCACTGCAACTTGGAGCAATCACTGTAAAAATAGAATCTGGTGGGTAGTACCTATTTTTTTTTCACAGACTACTTTTTTACCCTCTTAGATTCTGAAGTAAAGAAATGCACCCCCCCCAGGGGGGGGGGCAGGGCTGGCAGTGTCCGCCGGGCTGGCTGGCTCAGTGCCACACAGGATGGGCGGGGACCGGCTCTCAAGTGCTCTTTTCTCCCTCCCACAGGGGTTGTGAGAGGCCCTCCGCACTGTGGTTCTTTCTTGATGACAGCTACTCTTAGTATATTAGACTTCTGCCCCTTTAGAAACATTTGGAACACCAAAGAGCGAGCAGAATGTGAAGGCCGAGTGAGCAGATCCTCAGGTGGGAAGATGGCTGGGTCCAACCCCAAAAGGCATAACTTCGTGCCTGGAGCAGGACCCGGCATCTCTTCCAGGGCCTGGCATTGTCAAGTGGGATGTGCCCAGGACACCTGTGGAGGTGGGCACAGGGCATCTAGAGAGGAAAACCAATTCTACGGTTGGAGGGCTCACAAGGAGGTGAATTACGAGAAGCCAAGGTTTCTTAACACTGACATTTGGGGCTGGATCATTCTTCTTCTTCTTCTTTTTTTTTTTTTTTT